TTAAATCACTCCCTAGTAACTATGGCAATTCAACAGTGTTCCAACACGCTCTTACAATTACTATTTGTCCATGCTTAAAAGTTACATAAGCAACTACATAAGACCCAGAGGAATGAATAGTAAAATATTTGGTAATGATCTATTGTAAACATTTCTCCATTCAGTTAAAACTTCTGTACTTGACATTATTTATGGAAACTGTTTTCAAATTTTTTAGTCAAACTCCCCCCTTCCCTTTGAGTTACAATTTTTGGTTGTGGCCCCACCACAACCAGACAAAAAGTGGTGAATCAGAAGGTGGAGATGGGGCTCCCTCCTCATGTCCCACCACACAAGACTGAATCTCAAGCTATCTGGCATTGCAGTGGGCCCTCTAATGTTTCACCAGCATAAGTTATAGTGTGCACAGTGCTATGTCAGTGAGAAAGCTTCTCGCGCCGATACAGCTATCGCTACTTGCTGGAAGTGATTTGATAATGTTGATGGGAGCACTCTCTCCCATTTGCAAAGAGCAGCTCCTCAAGAGATCTTACTGCTGTATGGGTACAGCTATGCCACTGTAACATCTCCTATGCTGCAAACAGAGATACAAATGAATGAGCAAAATGTTCAAAGATTTTGCTTCTTGAGCTACAAGCAAAATCTTTGAACAAATGTTTGCAAAGCTGAATAAATGCTTTAAAATAATTCTTGTAGCACCAGGGTTGTAATCACAATGTACAACACAACATAACAGCATTCAGAATATCAGTGAGCTTCATTCTCTACTGCCTGGCACATAGTACACCTTTATAAAGCAAGTGTCAAGTGCTGACATTCAGGTTTGGCAGAATTTTACACCCACTCAACATCCAAAGATACATGGTAGTGGAGATAGTCACACCAACTTTATTCATATGACAGGCATGTTTGCACTTAACAAGAGACATTAAACATACCTAATTTTATTTACCTGTTTTCTCAGAAACAGAAAGCAAAGACTCACTACAAATCTTTCCTATTTGCATGCTTTTATTTCTGTTTCTGAGAAAACAGGTAGCAAAGACTCACTACAAATCTTTCCTATTTGCATGCTTTTATGAATATTTAAGATGAATGTCATACCTGCTTAAAAATGAATATGCAATTACAGAACTATTCAGGCTGTAATAATATTTGTTTAACAGAGAGGCTTTGGCAAATCAACCCATCTGAAGAGTTATGGGACATAAGTAATTCTAAGAGCTCCCGACAAACATAAATTTCAACATAAACCACAAACATGGTATTCCATGCCAATACACAGCACTGGAACACCTTACATGCATAAAGTTACTTATATATGTAAGAGCTTGGGGCCTTAATTGCTATGGATTAAGCAAATCATCACACATGTTAACTGACAAGGTTAGTAGTGTCGTATGACTTACTAAAAATGATTTTCTTTCCACATCTGGATGCTTGAGCATCCTAAGTTGTCTCAATACAGACTGCAAGGTTTATACTTCGTGCTAGGCTTTCCTATGGCTTTTAGGAAATACTAGCCATTTGATTTGTTGTATACATCAAAAAGGCCTATGATAATGTTTTAGGACACCAAACCAAAAAGAGTGCATTAGTTCTTAGGCCTTGTCTACCGACAAAAGTTGTACAGTTTTTATTACACTGGTTAGTTAAAACAGTACAACTCCCCTTTTAGCGATGACTGGTTATACCAGTATAAAAGTACTTATACCAGTATACCTTATGTCCACACAGGAAAGGGAATAATAAGGGGACATACACTGGTATAAAGAACCCTTTTACAGAAAGGTAGTCTGGAAGGCATTCCAAGAGGTCATCTAGTTCATTCCCCCAGTTCTGATGCAGGACAAAGTAAACTTGGACCATCCCTGACAGCTGTTACTCTAACCTGCTCTGATAAGCCTCCAATGATGGGGATTCCACTAAGGATGTAAAAACCTGTTTAATTAATTAACCAGTTAAACATTAAGTTTAACTAGTTAACTGAATAAACAGGAGCAGGCGGGCTGGAGCAGCCCCTAGTCATGGGCAGGCAGCTGGCTCCCAGCCTGCACAGGTTGGGAGTCAGCAAATCACACAGTGGGGAGGGGACTGTGCAGGTTCGTGGGCTGGGAGTTGCCAGTGCCCCACCACTTCACCGCTTCCACCCAGCCCGTGCTGGCTTGCAGGCTGGGAGTTGGCAGCCCTCCCCCACACTTGGTGTCACTTACTCCCTTCCCCTCACGCACAAGCCTGCCAACTCACAGACTGCATGGGCTGGGAGCCAGCAGCCCCATGGGACTGCTCCCAGGTAATGGTTAAATGTTACCCAGTAAGCATCACCTGCTAAGGGTAATGCTTATCAGGTAACCAGTGACCCATTCACATCCCTAAATCCTACAACTTCCCTTGGTGACCTTTTCCACTATACCTATCCTTATAGCAAGAAAGATTTTCCTTCTATCTAAGGTAAATCTCCGTCACTGAAGATAACCCATTATTTTTTCTTCCTACTGCCAATGAATATGGAGATCAATTGATCACCATCCTCTTTAAAACACATCTGAAGATATTTTATACAAGAATTCTTCCACTGACCTACCTACATCTATAGTGGGGTTTAGGCTGACCTACCTACATTGCACAAAGCACAACACTTTTCACAGCCCTTAGCAATGCAGCAAGGACAGTTTAAGTTTTAATAGCACAGACCAGGCTGGACATATATGGCTTGGTCTACACCTAAAACTTAGGTGGATGTAGCTATGTCATTCAGGAGCACTGAAAATTCACACGCATGAGAGATGTAGTTAAGATTGCCTATGCCTTAGTGTAAATGCCAGTAGGTGAAGGGTATAATTCTTTTGTCAATCTATCTAAACATCAAGGGACTAGATTAACTGCTGTGATGGAAGAGATTTTTTCCAAGAGCTACACTACAACGGTGTAGCCGCATCACCACATACAGAGTTTGCACTAACTATGGGTGTGTAGCGCATACATCGTGAACAGAAGACCCTTCACAACCGTGTAGCCGCATCGCCACATACAGAGTTTGCACTGATAACTATGGGTGTGTAGCGCATACATCGTGAACAGAAGACCCTTCCACCTAAAACAAGTGTTACTGAAACAGGCAACAAAACTAAAAACCAATATTAACACAAAGATTGACATGATAGGTGTGATCCACAATGCTCTGTCACACTGCTTGAGGTTCCTCCCTTGTCTTATACTCTCATCAATCCCATTGTGTATTTCAGTCACTCATTCTACAGGGCAGGAACTTCACGCTTGGCTGGAGAACACTTAGCACACTGTTGATGCTGACAATAATAAGCAGGATGTGTAGCACCAATGTTGTATTTTTCTACAGACACATAATCGTTTCTCTCGTATGTCGATATATAATGATATTTCTCAGCCACTGTGAGGAAATGAGAAAGGAAAGCAATAGTAGCTTCTCTTGTGATAAGATCTCGATATCTGTCTATTCTTTTTAGTAGCATTTGTCGTCATGATTTGACAATCCTCACTAAATTGTCTGGCCTCAACAAGTCATTAACAGTAATTCCTCCTGGGAATAACCAAACTCCTCTGCAATCTGTCTACCTGGAATAGTATATGTTTTTATTCTGCATAACTGTAAATTATTGTTAGATGGACACACTTCCCTTCCTCATATTGTAGTTCTGGAAATGAAAATAGGCAATTCTTTAACTGTCATATGTGAGAGACATGAAGTCATTATTTTGCATTTAAGAAAGATGTGAATGAACAGGAAAGATTCCAGAGAAGAGCAATAACAATGATAAACGGTTTGGAAATCCAGACCTCTACAAAAAGTTGAAAGAATTAGGCACGTTCAGTCTAAAGAAGTGAAGACTGAGTGGGGGAGAAGGGAACCTGATAACCATCTTCAAATATATTAATGGCTCTTATAAAGAGTGCAGTACTTAATTATTCTCTATGTCCACCAAGGGTAGGACAAGAAGCGATCAGCTTCGTCTGCAGTAAGAGAAATTTAGGTTGGACAGTAGGATAAACTTGCTAAGTCTAAGCATAGTTAAGCACTGGAGCAACCAAGGTAAGTTGCTGAATCCCTATCACTAAATCCCCTTTACTGAAGATTTTTTAAAACAAGCTACACAAACACCTGACAGGGATGATCTAGGTATACTTAATCCAGCCTCAGCACAGAGGGATACACTACATACTGTCTCTGGTCTCTTAAAGCTCTATACTTCCATGATTCTATATATTATCCATGGATACACTACATACTGTCTGTCTCTGGTCTCTTAAAGCTCTATACTTCCATGATTCTATATATTATCCATGCCATCATTAGGGCTGAAATATGAACTATAGCTCAATGGGGGAAGATGCAAATTGCTCCTACATGGAAAACTGGGGAACAACCTGCAAATACAGATGTTTGGCTTATGCTTCTACTAATGTTATTTATGCACGATCATACATTGCCAAGTTCATCTCTTTAATTCCTTTAAATTCAGGGCTGAATCTGGCCCAGAGTGTGTGAGCACATCCACAGGAGCGTGGGTAAATGTGTACCTAAGTTTGTAAGGAAATGTGTTCTTCCTCATGTGCATATGTTTGCAATTATCTGCAAGCATACATATATATGAGAGTTTGTAGGCGTGCATTTGTAACCCACTAGTGGGTGAGCATTTTTCACACATTCACAGAGAATGAGTTTTTACAGTCCCTTGTCAGGGAGTTTTGGTTCTTGAGCTCTTGAGTTTTTAGCACCAGTTCAATCTCCAATGGATTAGCCAACATGGTGGCTGTCACAAATATATCTTGGCACACTTGGTTGCAAGATGTCTGTACCAATGTGACTACAAATAAGTGTGTGAGCAGGCACAGAGGTGGGTGTGCATACATACAGGTGTATAAGTGAGTGTACGCCCACAGGCATGTAAATATACATGCCAGTAGATGTGATCACACACTCCCTGGCCAGCCGGCATCCCAGTGGAAGGAGAACTACTTACCCAGCCTTCGAAGCTGTCAGCACTGCCCGTGATGTGTAAGAGATCATGGAAGCGCAGAGTGCAGTTGGCCACAAAGTCATCATAGCCGATGGGGGTGTCATGGAAGACGGCCAGCTCCAACAGCCGGCCATCGGTGACACTGGTGCTGAACTCCTCATTGTAGGTGGGCTTGTTGGTCTTCTGTTTGATGCTGGTCTGTCCCACCCGCACCTGGTCCACGCTCACCGCCACGTAGGGGTCCAGCAGCTGGTAGCCCTTCTTGAAGAGCGAGTGTCTCAGGGACCAGCGGGTGGGCTGCAGTCCCACCACCTCGCCAATCCGCACCTTCATGTACCCGTTGAACTTCATGGCCCCGGACATGGCGACCCAGCGGGGTAGCCCGAGGCGCGAAATGCCGAGGAAAGGGGTGCTGAGCTCAGCAGCTCCGGGGGAGGGCAGGGGTCCAGCAGTTCCACTTCCTCCTCAGTGGGGCAGCTCAGGGACCAGCGGGTGGGCTGCAGTCCCACCACCTCGCCAATCCGCACCTTCATGTACCCGTTGAACTTCATGGCCCCGGACATGGCGACCCAGCGGGGTAGCCCGAGGCGCGAAATGCCGAGGAAAGGGGTGCTGAGCTCAGCAGCTCCGGGGGAGGGCAGGGGTCCAGCAGTTCCACTTCCTCCTCAGTGGGGCAGGCAGCTCCCCCATCTCTGAGCCATGCCCACCAGCCCCCCGTCCAGGCGCAGGCTGCGCTCTGCCCTCC